ATTTTCTTCCTTTTCACCGCTGTTTCTCTCGCTGTTTTCGGCGCGGGATAAACCGCGAGAATGATGTTTGGTTGGGTATAATTTTTCTCTCTCTCTTTTTGTTTAAACGGAAGCGGTAAAGGGGGATAAATTTTAGGGGGGATTTGTGAATTCAAATTGGTAAGGGGAAGTTAGATTCTGATTCTGTGTTGTGAAATGAAATGATGAGGATATTTCGAGATCGAAATTTATTAATGATAATAAAGAAAGGGGTTTATATATGTGTTATAGAAATTATAAAATGCGGATTTATTCGTTGAAAGAAAAGAGAAAAGATCCGAGATAAGGATAATTTTCAGGGATAAATTGAATAAATTTCCAAAGTTTTAGTTGGTTTTTCTTTTCCTTTCTTTCTTTCTTTTTTAAATTGTCCGATCGAGAAAGAAGTGGTGATGGAAAAGAGACGGAGAACAATTCGAGATGCAATTTTATTGGAAGCCATAAACGCGATAAGATGTTTCATTGCGCGTGGGGATAATAGAGAAATATTATTTGAACGAGAAAAAAAATCAGGATTTACCGATGGAAATGATTTTCAAGCTGGTTACAGTCATTAAATCCTTACGGTCTTCCATTATCTATAATGTCAGGCCTGGTCTTGCCAAGCATAATGGAATTATAAGACGTACGGTTAATGGTGTTCAATGACAAAATGAATAAAGAGAAGAGCGTATTTGAAAAATAGCAATGAAGAATTTCAAAATCGTCGTTTATCCTCTGTTTATCCTCTGTAACCTGTAGTTATGTAAGAGAAATATCCTTTTTTTTTTTTTTTTTCCTTTTTACAAATTATTTTCGAGGTAAATTTAATACAATTATATATTAATAAAAATATATTAATTACACTGGGTATATAATTATCTAGGAAGCAAGAAGTTGAATTAATTAGCAGATACATATATATATATATACATATGATAATATAATAGTTAATTATTTATGATAATTTTCAACGATTACCTCTTCCGCCATATTGGAACGTTGTACTTGTAAAATGTGTATATTGTGTATATTGCATATAGGGTCAAAGTAGAACTATTGAAACGATCAATTGGTCAAGTTACGGTTGCACGGCAGTAAAGTTGGAGGTGGGAGTAAATTTATCGTTCGACTCTCGCCGAGATTATAACATCTTCGTTCGAAAATGATTTAAACGGCACTCAACGAATCGCATATTCGACGCGAAATTGCCTATTCCGACATTCTATTATTTTATGAGCCTGTTTATGACATAGTACACAGAACGCAGGCGCGATTGGTGACACTTTTATTAACCGATGGT